AGTTTTATATATTATATGAGGGCTACCTTCATACATTTTTAATTAAAAAATCCATACTTTTACTCTTGGCACTATTTCATTTACTTATATCTAATGAGTTACATGAATACCAAATTAAAAAATACGTCAGATATCTGTTAATACTTAGTGCATGAAGTTAATGAGAACAGGTCACAGATTCAAACTCCATGTGGGCCAATTAGCTTTACAATGTTTCAGGCTCCATGGTCACAGTCAACACCTTAACCTTGGGTAACAAAGAAACACAATGATCGTGTGAAACATTAAGAGAATGATTATTATGAACAAAATCTATAACTGTCATAAAGTAATAAAAACTAAAAATATTAATGAGCAACTCTATTTTCTACTAAACTCGACTAGTATATGTATATATATATATATATATATATATATATATATATATATATATATATATCTTTTCAGCCATGCAGGCTATTATCTCTGTACTTTACAGATGATGTGAAGTGAATTCAAAAGTAGGAACTAAGGCTATACCCAGCAGAAACTGGATTCAGAACTGTGACTCCAAAGCTCAGGGTATTTCCACAATAGAGTATGGCCTTGCCTAATTGTGCCATATAGCATAAAATAATCAATAAAATGTTCCTATTCAGCAATCATCACTAACTGAGCATCTACTACATATATAGTTAAGAATGAAATCTACCTTCCAACGTCCTTTTAAGTAAAAAGGAGTCAAAAAGCAAGTGTTTGAAAGAAAGGAGACAACACAATATGCACAAAGTAGATTTAAATATATATTTCTATTGTTATAGCTATATATACATACACACACATATATGTGAATATACATATATATACACTATTGTGCAAAAAATCATGTTGAACTAAAGGTAAGAAAGAATGAATCTAAAAAACAGAGGGCACAACATGAAAGAGAATAATTGCTTCTTGGCCTTTTGGTGAAGATCAACTATTTAAAAAAGGAATAAAGGAAGTATTTTCTTTTTTCTTTTCTTTTTTTCTTTTTTTTTTTTGGTTTTTCGAGACAGGGTTTCTCTGTGTAGCTTTGCACCTTTCCTGGAACTCACTTGGTAGCCCAGGCTGGCCTC